ATGACGTACTTTTAGAGCATGAGAAGTGAAAAATAATTATTATTAATACAAAGATCGAACACAAAGAGAAATTCCTTCGACCTGGCTAGACGCTGGTTCGAGTCCAATCAGACTGAAAGAATTTTTCTTTGTGTCATTAATAATAACGACAACCTGTTCTTTAAGTAAGTGCCGTTTGACGGTTCCTTCACACCATACTGCGGTATCAAGTCACTTACAGTGTTTTGATTCAACAGCGCTCTTATGTTTTCTCTAGGCCTAATCTATAATCTGACATTTCAACTTTGGAGGTATTAGTGTTTTTGAATGAGATATCAAAAACTAAAATACACTGTAAGTTTTTAAATTTAGAAATTATTTTGATATAGTCTTCCGGTTTGACAATTACTCTCGCGTAATACGCACAAAACAGTGTTGCGGTGAGCCTGAGTTGGCAAAAACTGTCAGATCGCTCCAATGTGACGCTTTTTGTGCTTAAAGCCATACTAAGAAATCATCGTCTAGTGCCTCCACCACAATCTAATCAACGTCTGAAAAGACTCGTATGTCATGGTGAGCACCATATTACCACCTTTGCAAGTAGACAGTTTTTTGTTATAGGCTCTCTTCTGTACAATAAATTACATAAAATTCACAATATCGTAGGCTTATGCAATTACGAAGTTAAATCTAAATTGGAAAATTGGCTAAAGACTCTTGATTACACGAGTACTGAAGCTCTACTAGATTATAATTATTAAATTGATAAAATTAGTAAATATTACTTTTAATTTAAACTTGAACTTGATTTCATATTAACTTGAATTGAATTAATCTTTATACACATACACTCTCACTCACACACACACACACACACACACACACCACACACTTACACGTCCATTTATTTATATAGGTCACGAAGTATATTTTATTTCTTTCTTTATTTTATTACTTCTTCATTAGAATTACCCTTTTAGATATTATAAAACGTCATTTTTTCTTTTTTTTTTGTTACACGCATGCCTATCACTATAGTTGTAAACCATAACCGTACAGACTCACTTATATTTATATACTTTATAATGATTGGATTCAATAGAAGTTTTGATTTTATGTAATAGTTACCCCTAACTGAACACTGCCTCCTAAGATACAGTCTTTGATTAATTTAGGAGACAGAATCTCTAAATTTGGTACGCCTTATTTTATATTTTGTGCTACGTTATATCTATACCAATAATATTTTGTTAAATAAATAATAAAATTGCTGCTCTGTACTAATTATAAGGCAAAAGTGTTAATAAAGATATTATTATTATATTATTATTATTATTATTAATGTCTCAGGAGCAAAGCATCGAAATGTTAGTAATCACCCTTACTAACATTAAGATGCCTTACTTTCTCAAACTCGTATCGTATAAAGAGTGATTATTCAGGAGTTGGCAAAACTTTTTATTTATTTTAAATTTCTTATCAATGGTGTTAATGTGGAAGCATTGCTTTAAGAATAGGTAAAATCCTGTGTGTAAATATGAAGAAAATGTGATGTGAAATCAGCCTGCAAAATTTGTATACACAATTCATTAATTTCATTTCAGTAACTTTGCGTTTTAAGATACGAGTTTGAGAAAGTAAGGCGACGATTTGTCGCGGCTCAAAATTTAACAAAAAAAAACATTCCTTCGTGTCAATCCAAAACTGCAAGGTTCAATACAGTGTTTTGTAATTTCATAATAACAATAATCTTTCGGCTGTTAACGAGAGACAAGAAAGTACTTCGTTTTCAAAAGAAATAACTTACTTTCCAAAATAAATGTATCTGTTTATGTTATTAACCTCAAAAATTACAAAAAAAACGAATAATCCTTTACGCAGCTTTTTCTCAAAATGCTGATTTTGATATTACACTGTTTTGGTTTAATACGGTAGCATAGTCCAGTACGCCATAAGTGACTACACTATTGTTATTCAGCTCATAATGTAATCGAGTAAAAATAAATTAACGTAAAAGCTTAACAGCTAAAACCTTTTCGTCACTTACGAAATAATATAAACACCAAAGGCCATCAAAGCGATGCAAATTAAGAAGAAAAGCCAAAGCTTTTCATCTTTTTTGCGGATATGAAACAAACATGATATCCGGTTTTCAATGAAGGTTTTATTATTATGAAATGTTTTTTTAACAATACATTTAAACCTTGTTCGTGGGTATGAACAATCCAATCAGGCAATTTTTTTAAGATCTGAAACAATTCACGTCGAACAATGATTTTATAAACTTGATACAATTTTTTACGTTAATGAAAAATCATAAATAATATGATTTTCAAGCAACATCAAAACGCAAAAAGACCTAACCACAAATAACAAAAACCAACGATCTCAGATCGGTAGAAAACCTATAAACCTAGACTTAGAGAGTGAAAGTATTCAGAAAGGCGAAAAACTTTAATGCTATGGTTAATGGTTACTTACTTCTCTTTCATGTTTTTGTTACACATGCGATATATACCTACTTAAAATATAATATCAAAACGTTCTAAATCATCATTTTATGGCCTATCGTTAAAAGATATAACAAAACACACAAAATGTGTACACACATACTGCTTAGCTCAGTCAGTTAGCTAATGGTATTATTGTTACCTCTATAGTAACGAGTGCTTTTTTGATAAAATTACTTTTCCCTCAATAATTATAGACGGATTTATATACCAAAATACCATTTTCAAGGTTCTAGCATTACGAAAATTAATATAAAATTAAAACATAGCAAAGTTCAAAAACTTTTTAAACAACTGTATATGTTTCTGTGTTTTCTACAATAAAAAAATATTTTTATTGAATACATTATGAAAAATATTAGGATAAAATTAATCTCCCGTACAGGGAAACCTTTTGTCTTCTCAAATCAGTGGCAAAGTTGCTCAAAAGGTTAAGCTACTACGGAGTTCGTGGTCAAACATTGGCAACCAGAGACGTCCAAGCGCCCGGGTTAAAACTCGTTAATGCCCAAAATCGAGAGATAAAACTATTTACTTATTTTTTAGTTTTATTGAAATTCATGATATTATTACAAAATATTTATTGCTTTCTGAGCTAGACGTGTCGATTTTCCTTTCTATTGAATCGGTTCGCTTAAAAATCGAATTGATAAATCGATACAAAAATTCATTAGATCATATACCTCCGTGGTCGAGTGGCTTGCACACCGATTTTCATGGTGTCGCCATCTCTGAGGTCCCAGGTTTGATCCCCGGCCGGGTCAGTGTAGAAAAATAACTTTTTTATATTGTCTCGGGTCTGGGTGTCATTGGTAACTTCGTTGTTTCCGATTTCCATAACACAAGTGCTTTATCTACTTACTTTGGGATCAGAGCAACGTATGTGATGTCAATTATTTGGTCAAGTGTGAGTTGTCCATAAAAATGATTACACTAAAAAAAAAATGTTGTATGCACTTAAATCGATTTTCGTAAAAATGCATCATTAGTAATGAGAATCCACCGGATCGTAAAGTGCGTATTGTGTGAAGTTGCCTCTTTTTCGTCTGAAAAAGATTTTGTACATCGTAATTTCTAAAACGTATTGTTTGTTGGGTTTTAACCCAATGCTCATCTCTTTTGGCAACACATTAGGCTTTCAGAGGATTAAAAATACAAAAAAAGCCACTATACTATGACCACGTTTATAACATATGTTTAGAATCACACGGCCTTTAAATAAAAAATATTTAGGATTTAGAATACCTTAGACATAGACATAGTCAAATAAAATTATTAATTTATTTGTGATACGCTATAACCTGTCTATAAGACGTTACAAAAATGAGTTCTAAATCATTGGATCCGTCTTGCGGCACACAAACTTTATACACTTTTTATGTAATTTTCATGGAATGGAATAATTTGAAAATACACTATAATCATGCATACAAAACAATATAATAATAGTTGATTTATTAAGTTTGTCCGATAAAAAAATAGAACACTTGAAATTTAAATTTTATAAAACATCTTCAACATTGTCATAACATTCAGGTAATTAAATAATAATTTCTTAAATTGTGCACAACCATTGCAATTCCTATTTTCATATGGAAGCTTGCTATTGACCTGTGTAATAATTACAATTACCATTGACTTAATTACACTCTTTTGAAGTAGTGGAAACATTTTTAAAGCTCGTTTGGATTCGTCACATTATATAAAAATAATTGAATTTTACCACAAATTTTCAGCACTGTATAGCGTTAATCGACAAAACCTTCCATTCTCGAAGTCGAATTAGTTTTGAAAAAATGTGTACATGTTGAATAGCCTAGATATAATTTTTAAAATTAATAAACAATCTGCCAAAACGACCGACACACAAAAATACAACACCGCTGCCTAAAATGGAAACACCAGTTTTAAGCAAAATGTAAGTTGTCACATAATTTTGACAATGGCTTTAAATTACGAGCGCAATAAAAAATCAAATAGAACTTAATATATTAGAGTATTGCTTCAAAAATATCATTATAATTATAACTATTATGTGAAAAAGTTTCATATTTTTTTTGTGCCTGGCCTTCTTTTTTTATTTATAAAGAAAATACTTTGTGTGTTAAGTAACAGCGAGTATAACTTTTTGGTAACGTTGGCGTAAAACTTTAATATTAAATTTTCTTTTTCTGGCGCAGGTGGGTTACTGTTTTGAAAACCTTAGTTTTATACTTTACTTTTATGAAGTCGTCTTTTCGATTTATATAGATAATTTTTTAACACGTTCTGACACCAGTCAACCACCGGGAACTATTTTTACACACTTATATCTTCCTTTACATTTTTTTGGAATATATCACTGCAAAATAGAGATTTGTATGTCACATTTATCATTATTGATTTCTTTTACAAAAATGTTTTTGAATAATTATAAAAAAACCTGAAAATATTAAATTTTCGCATAAATGTGACAACTCGTACCATTGCCTGAATATTTTTTTTATATAATTTTTAAAGTTTGCCACTTACCTTGGATGTTTGACGAGTCGTAGTCGTTCGCTGCAACCTCGACGGCAACAAGTGGTGTTATGCGCCCGCCCGCCCTACCACGCACTTATATAGTCGCAGGGCGGCGCCGCCCTCCGCCCACCGCCCTAGCATAACATTTAACACACTTTGCATCGTAATTTTGAGAAATCAAAAGTTGTAGAATAAAGATTTACCTCATTTAAGAAATCGAGCAGTTTTTCTTATAATTTCTCGATTAGTGGAATTTCAAATATCGAAAGCCTTCTGATATACTCGTAGTATTTTACTTACAAAAATATTTTTATATGTTCACTTTTTGTCAAGAGCAGAGATAGCCTAGTGAGAAAGAAGTTCAGACCCCTGTGGCGACATATCGTATGATTATAATTTTTAATTTTAATACATTTGTAACTTATTAAAAGCAATAACTCTCGGTAACGATGAAAGAAATCATTTTTTTTATTTGTTATAAATCAAAACAAAACCCTATAACTAATTACAATCTAGCCATTTTACAAGACTAATAAGCAATTTTAATTGAACATAATTTCCTATAATAAAAGTAACTTATATAAAGAGATTGACCATTGACAAAATATCTTTTAAAATTAATTAAGGGGAAGACACTTAGTCTGTGTGTTCATAGTCTAGTTAGCACTAGTCACTAATATTTATTTTATTCACTATAATTAACTATACTAAGGCGATTATCACACTGCACCGGCGCCCCGCGACGGAGCGCGGAAGTGCGTTTTTTAATGTTGTACTGAAGTACCTCAGTTTGTACGGAAGACACGCGCCGTCGAACACACTGTCAACGCTTCTCCGTGAGAGCGTAGCGCACGCGGTTATACCGCGCTGCCGTGCGGAGGGGCGCGGCGAACCGCAGAGTATAGCACCTGAATGAGTTCTGTATTATTAACCATTCTAGTCAAAGAAGGATCTCGGCTACATATACAATCACTAGGGCGATCAACTGCGAAGCGAGTACTTTAAGTGACGCGGGGACGCTAAACCGCTGCCCCCGCGCAGATTAAACCGCGCGTTGACGCAGATCTGCGTATCCGCTACCGCGCGCGTGATGACGCGTCACACGCGGTGCAGTGTGATAATCGCCTAACTCAAAAGATATAGTTCTTTGTAGTCTACGCACTATATTTGTATTGTCAAGTAGCTGTATAACGTCTATGTTCACGTGATGATGAAGTCTATTTTCGTGAGCTTCGGCGTACTTTATTATCACTTCATTTACATAAATTTTCATCGAGATAAAATCTGCAATCAAACTTAACAAGTGAACCTTTTCTGATTAATAAATAGCTTTTATAAAAAAGTCTTCAAATTACAAAAGAACATACGTACTTATATAATATTAACATGTTACTATAGTTGTTTAATGTAATTAATTTTTGTTTGTAATGAAGAAAATTTGTGTTATAACAATTAAGATTTAAAAACTACAACTGTCGGCTCAATCACTAGACAAAATGATTCTAAATAGATATTATTTCTTTGACTATCAAAGAAGTACCTACCTATTTCTACCACCAAGCAGTAATGTCAGCATTACTATGTTCCGGTTTTGAAGGGTAAGGGTGAGGTGCTGGTGCAATTACCGGCACATGAGACTTGCCAATTTAGTCTCAGGGTGACGGGCGCAGTGGCAGTACCCCTCAGATCTTTACCACTTAAAGCTCTGAGTAACACTGCAACTGTTATAGACAGGCGTGTAGCTTACCATCAGACGCACGACATGTTCGTCCCGTCACTTAATATTAGGGTAAAACCGGGTTAAATGCCCCACTTTATGAAAGGGTCTCCCAATTTAAAAATTATTAGTTTACCATGAATAGTTCCTATGGACATAACTAGCTTAATCTTTTATATTACATTAAGATTTGATTTTATTGATCTAGTATTTACTGATTTTGAAGAAATTGACTTTTTGCTAACCTATTTTTTTACCTATATGGATAGACACACAAATAAAATACTAAGAAGGATAGATGCCCTTTAGAATAAAATAGTAAAATTCATAATAAAATGTTTTATTTGTAATCCTTAACATATCTTTTATACATATTACATCTTTAATAAATATATACGTATTTAAAGTTACTACCTACTTCACTTCGTATTTTTGTAGCTATCAAAACATTCTATACAAAAATGTTCGCTGTTTGAACTGTGAATAATTTGTCTTTTTGGTACTTTTACTTACTCTTAAACTTTTCATTTACTTGTCTTTTTCATTAAAATAATGTATTTTTTATTTTTTTCCTAGCTTTCTTGTCTTGTCCTTTGCCCCTAACGCACCTATAATGTGAAAAATCGAGGCGCCTATCCTATTCGATATGGATAGATGCCCTTTTATTATATAACTAAGCTATATACCAAAGAGCGATTATTGACACCTAGGAGCGCAGTTAATGCACCAGTGTATAGTTATAATAAAAATAAAACGGAATTTATTTTAAATTACAAAGTAATGCGACAGTAAATACTTGCGTCTGAAAATTTGAACCGTTCGTCGTGTTCGTCGCGGAGTTAAAAAAAATAAAAATTACACCAGGCTTGGTGACATCGCGCCGACTGGCCCTAATCATCTATTACGTACAACGGTACCGACGACGTTGTTATACGTGTCACGGCTTCATTACTCCACAAAGTCTACGGATATTGTAGAGCATATACGAGTGAAAGCCAACGCTACCCTGAGTCAAAGTCAAAGTCAAAGTCAAAGATTATTTATTCCATAGGTAAAATAAATTGACACTTGAAAACGTCACATTTAAACCACTGCTCGTTCACTACGCTGACCTCTAGGGATTGCTCTATTGAGGGTCGAGCGGTTGGGGTACAGTCACAATGAGAATTTTAATTCATTTGTGGTAAGAGTACCAACTCTACATCTATCAAGCTTCATGAAGAAGGAGTTTTGGTCGAAGGGTGTCGCGTACCTGCCGATGTTTCCGAGGCCGGTTACCGGACACCCAAATTACGCCACACGGCGCAGTCCATACGTGTAAATAAATAAACGCATTGTTTATATGTATGTTGTATGTATATTAGTATTTAAGGTATATATTATATGGGTCATGTGGCCAAAAATAAACAAATAAAAATTAAAAAACAATAAGAGAGGAGGCATAAGCATGTCTGGCTGTGACATCGTAGCTTCCAAATGGATGAACTGATCTAAAAGGGTTTTCTTATATGTAGGCTAATTTAATCGGGATAGATCTTATTTGTGTCTTTTTGAACACGGAATTAAATTACATTTGTAGGGTTGCCAGTTTTTATAGAAGTTTAAATAGTTATGTAGTTGTTGTCGTTAGTTTTATCGATAGATAGATGTAAAAAAAGACAAAATTTTGCCAAACATTACTGAATTGTGAATGTTACGGCGTTCTTATGATTACTAATTGCGTTATTGTCTTGTTTATTCTTATTTTGAGAGTTGGCTTAATAGTATCGAGTTCAATTTTTATTCTTATACATTTACCAAGAATAGCTGGATTTATTATCTATATTGAATTAAAATGAATAACAGGATTACGGGATGCAGGAGTTTACAAGCTTGACTGTGAGTGCGGTTTCTTATATTGGACAAACAAAGCAAAGTATTTGTACCCGCGTCAAAGAACATATAGCTGATGTCAAACACCGTCGCGTAAACAAGTCTGCAGTCTGCGAGCATGTCATAGATAAACCTACACATTCAATGAAGTTTGACAAACCCCAGGTCCTTGCAAAAAAAGTCCGTTATCTACCTAGGTCGCTGCGATTGGAAAAATTGGAAATTGGAATGTTTTCTTTGTAAAATTAAAAATAAGGTATTTAATTAATACTATTGTAACTATAGTGAAAAAATAGGGTGGTTTGCATTAATATTAGACATAACTGGTTGAAGATTGTACTACCTTTTTTTTTTTTTTTGACGGGGGAAATCTTTATGGATACCCCTAAGCCCAGAGAGACTCAGGGGTTATGTGGGGACTCTCCCTCCAGACTGGAGGGCCTACCCCACTAAAACCCCCCCGGGTTTCCCTCTCGCCGGTTGAGTCGGCGCCGTGGGATCGGTGAACATTCACCACGACGCCGCCCGGCCGCCCAAGCTTGCGCCAGGGCTCCCGCGCCAACGGAGGGGCGAGTCGGTTGTGAATGACGAATGAGGCCGTGCAATGCAGGCTCCGGAGTCCCTGTCCAGAGCCCGCTGGCCTCACTAGGGGATCAGGCGAGCAGCGAACTGCCTTCGCCTTCTCCCCGTACGTCTGTGCCGAAACGGGTGCGCGTCCGCCGCGTCCTCGCGCACCCGCTCCGCGGCCTCCTTTTGCGACATAACCTCTGCGCAAAAGGAAGCCACCGCCTCCCAGGACTCCTCGCTATCGAGCATGGCGGCAACCACGCTCGGCAGCGAGAGGTCCTGCCCTACAGTCCCCGTCAGAGTGCGGCGCTGCTCATCCCACCGGTTGCACACCTCTAGGGTGTGCTGCGCGGTGTCATCCGCAGCGCCGCACTCGTGGCACGACGGGGACGGTTCCCTCCTCGCCACCTTGTGCAGGTAGTGACCGAAACACCCGTGTCCAGTCAGCACCTGCACAAGGTGGTACGACAGTGGCCCGTGGGACCGGTTTACCCACTCTACGAGGACAGGGCGGATCGCCCCTATGGTACGAGCGCCATAGGGGGGATCCGCCAAGCCCTCTTTCCACCGGTCCCGCATGCGCTGCGCCGCGAGGCGACCTCTTGGGGAGCAGGGCGCTCGCCTCGGTCCCTCATTCCCCGCCGGTAGGCGTGGACCTCCGCCAGGACCTCGGCACGGCGGAGTACCGGCGAGGACGCATGCGGCAGCGCAGGCCACCGTCATGTACGCCCTGCACATTCGCAGGGCGACCACCCGCTGGGGCCTCCTCAGCAGCGACTTCGTCGCCGCTGATAAGGCCCCACTCCAGATGGGAGCCCCGTACAAGGCCATACTCCGGGTCACCCCGGCGTATAGCCTCCTGCACGGGGCTCCCGGCCACCGACCGACCGACCGACCGTGACCATG